GTTCGTATTAATAAAACATTATCATAAACCCTTGATAAAATTTCTCTATCAAAATTGATTGAGGTTTTTCTTTGGGTGTGAACAATGTCTTTATATTAAGTGAATAATACTTTTTAATTTAGTATACTTCCATACTGATTTCACTTATGTAGGCATTTATGACTTAATTAGGTTGGGGCCAAACTGCGTTCGACGAAGAAATTAGTAACGTTCTTTTAGAAGTAGCTGTTCCAGTTTGGGACCATGAAGAATGTGTTCTAGCTTTTTCGCAACCAATTTTTCGTACTAATATATGCGCTGCTGAATACGAAGGCGGGAAAGATTCGTGTTTGGTAAATGATATAATATGGTTGAAAAACCACATTTACTTACACTATTCAGTTTTTCTTAATTACTGTTTTTAATTATAGGGCGATTCTGGTGGTCCGTTGTTAATGCAAAGATCAGATGGAAGGTGGACAAATATTGGAGTAGTATCATGGGGAATAAATTGTGCTCAACCAGGATTCCCAGGAGTTTATGCTAAAACAACTTCTTTTCTTAAGTGGATTGCTGTCAATACTCAGGACATTAATTAGGCAATAATAGTAAAGAAAGTGCACATTTTATTTTGCCCAATATTATAAAATAGTTCATAGCTTTTAATTTTTGATAATAAAAATTATTTCTGTAAAAATTAAATAACTTAAGTTTTAACATTAAAAAAATTAGTAAAAAAATAAAAAAGCGTGAAGATATATTTAAATAGATATTAATAATTGTAAAAAATTATAAATTGACAAATAAAATGATAAAAATTTGTACAAGTTTTGTGTAATGAATTAATTTTTCATTCAAGGCTGTATACATGAAATTAAGTTTTAGAATGATACCGTTATATATTTGATTACTTTTTAATTAAACGATCGGTACCTAAAAAAATTATGAAAAAACATAAAAATGCTTAATTTTGTTCTACTTTCATTCGAATAATGGTTAGTCTAGTAATAAATAGGCTTAAATGCATTTTACCACCCCATCAAGTTTTTTCAAATTTTTTTTTTAATTGGTTCAGTTTTTTATACTGACTAAGAATATATAAAAAAAAATTGTCGGCGAAGTCCAGTTTAAAAGTTATGAGCTTT